AGAATACAATTTGAGGCACTTCTCATCAAATTTCAAAAAAAAAAATTGACCTCTATAGCTATAAATACCCCCCTAATATGTATATATAATATATAATATATAATACTATTGTAATTTTGTACGGTAAACGTTAAAATTCGTATACCACAAGTGCGATTGGATATAACCATCTTGTGAATAATATTGTCCTCCACAATTTTGGTATGACAATATTTTGGTACAACCAGTTAAAGCTAGATATTAATGCATGGCTTACTTGTTTTTATCATAAAATTCATTTTCAGTTAAAAGTGTACATTTTGATGGCCTTATAACGCGAAAACTATAACTTTACCTGAAAATGTCATAAAAACTTTTTTTTTGATAATTAATTTCTCTACAATTTATAACTTTTTACTGTACGACTCATAAAAAGCGGGATATTAAAAAAAAGGGTGTGGCCTTTAACCTCGAATAACCTTTGAACGAGTACATAGACAGATGTCGACTTTTCACACGTTTTCTAAAACGATGTCATAAAGGTGTGTACCAAAATTCAGCTAAGTGGGAATTTTTCCGAGCTGAAAACCTAATATGACTGGACTACTAAATATTTGAGGAAATAGACATAATTTCATTCTAAATTAATGTGGAGGAAAATTTAAACCACTTTTTTTTGTGGAGGAAAAAGGTATATCGTTTTTGCCGGGAAAATAAATTATTATCGTTCCCGTGTTGGTACACTGTTTGGGAAAAACTTTGAAGTATGCACGATTGGCGCGTCGGTAGCCTGGTTAGTCTGGTTAGCTAGTCAGTGCGGTCGCTGCCTATGGCAGACGGCGAAGGGCTGACACCATTCGCGAGTAGAAAAGCAAATATAGGGGCGCTGTAGTCAATTTTTACTAACGGGGCCACTGTGTATGTTGATAAAAAGTATAAATAATCTATTTCACATTACAATTATTATTTATTAATTAATTTGTTTTAATATGAACAATTTCATTTATTTTTATATTTCGATTACAATACGTAAATACCTGAGAAAAATGTTTACTTCGGTTGTTGAACTAACGGACATTTTAAGTTTTATTGGTGACTTTAAGCGACCATTGATTGAGCAGCTTCTAACTAGTAAAGGGCCGATTTCATAATAATTATAATATGGAATATGGATCACAATACGTAATCAAAATTAAAAAGGTTGGGTAAGTGGATGTCGCTCTGCTGCTACATAGGTTACAAGTGGGTCACTGTATAATGGATGGTATTATTTAAATTTGAATCCAATGATACAATATCATTGTATAAGAAAAACGATTCTGAGCGAAGACGGTATGTCAGTCTAGGTTTAAGACATATATATACATATCTATGGTAATAAAAAAAAATTGACCTATAATAAATTCCAAATTAATCATATCACAATATCCATTAGTACGTACTATATAAACACGTTTATACATCAATAACAAACCCTGATACTATCATAGATATATAATGTAGTGTACTTTAGAAGTTTCAAGTACCCACGAATAGTATTATACACTCACAACAAAATAACTAAAAGAGGTATGCTAGGTTTTTGATTATGTAATTTCGTCCCAAATTTGAACTTAAAATGGCTGTAAAAAATCTGTGCGCATATATTTTTTAGATTTTTAATTTTCAATCCTTAGCTATAAAAACTGAACATTTTATAATTTATTAATTACAATGATTGATTATTTTCGAGATTTTGATAAATTTTGTCAAAATGCGATCTTTAAATGCTTTATAAAAAAAATTGTGCCGGTATTTTTAATATTTTTCAATTAATTTGTAACAATATATCAGGAGCCTTGTATAATTTTTTCACACTTTGGTCTCAACAGATAAAACTTGATATATTATAGAAAAAAAAAACTAAAAAAAATTGAAAACTGAAAATGTCCGTAACGGCTCAAAAAGAGCAAAATATTTTCAAAATGTATGTGTATAGGAAAATGCTAATATAAACATTTAGTGAAATTTTCATGTATCTACAGTAATTCGTTTTGAATTACAACAAATAAGAAATCGCCACATGAGTAATCGAGTGAATATCCAATGATGTAAAAATTTGAATTTCAAACGCTCATAAAATTTAATTTGACTTTCCGGTAGAGATTTTTTTATTGATAGGTAGACAAACTTATGAGTAATCTTGTATTAACATTTCAAATCTTAGATTTAAAAAGAAAAATTTTACGAATTCTTAACTCAAATAATTTGCTAATTTTCGTGATTTTTCCAAATTTTGTCAATTTTTGAACTTAAAATGCTTATAAAAAAAAATTGTGACTAAGGATTTTTAATATTTTTCATCTGCCTTTGAAACAACGTATTAGGAGCCTTCTATTAAATTTTCAAGCTTTCGCAACCAACAAATAAAATGTTATTGATATGTCTAGAAAAAAAACTAAAAAAAATGAAAAATGAAAATGTCCCTAAACAGTTCAAAAATAAATCAAATTTTTGAAAATGTTATCGTATATAGAAAATGCAAATGCAAATGCAAACAACCAGTGAAATTTCATGTATATACGTTCATTTCTTTTAGAGGTACCAAAAACCAAACAAAATCGATTTTTTGGAAAACCGATTTGCGTAAAAATCACGTTTTTTCCGTAATTTTTCTTTTGTTTTTCCCCGGCGCTTTTGAAAACTACTACTGTTGAAATTTTAATTTTGACCTCCCCAATGCACCAACGATATTCACTTTCCAATCGAACAAGATACTGAAGTCGAAAATCGAAGCATTATTTCGACTACTTATCGTGTACACAGACAAACAAAAAAAAAAAAAAAAAAAAAAAAAAAAAACACACATCATTGTCAAATCAATACCATTCATCGTTTCACTCAGAATCTAAAACTATTCGTGGTTAATAAATTATGATAAATTCTCAATATATTTTTGTATTCATAGACCTATCAGTTTCATGTCGGGCTTGTCGGCCCCGTTACAACGTTTCATGCCGCCGCCACCAGATGTCAGCCGCTTCGCTTTCTATCGCGAATTGATTTCGCCACACCACCAGCATGACCGTTGGTTTTGAAGTGGGTACGGGTCGCGGGAAGTGAGTTGGTCACGCAACGGGCGGCCTGGTATTATGTCGTTATGTTGGCAACCTCCTCGATCCGCTGCCCGTCCACCGATCCCACACCGCGCCAACGAGCTGGCAGTTCATATTCCTTCGACACTCGTCCGTCGACATTGCCGCGCGTAGCTCGTTGTCCGCCACGTGCTCATCGTTCTACGGTTTCCCGTTGTCCTCGAATTGGCCACCGACAGCACTGCGTGACCCGTTCGGTGTAGTTCATTGAATTATTATAGTATTATTATAATTTAATATTTATACAGTTGTCGACGTAGTTGGTTTTTCGCCAGTCTTTATCTGCTTTTTTTCAATTGCCATTACCAATGCTTTATGTTATTTTGACTCGATGAACACTTCAAAAATGGCTTCTGTAAACAGCGTTCCAGCAAACGAAGGTAACGATATTAATTGATGATTATAACAATGTACGGTAACGTAATTTGGTTTTAATTTTTTTATTGTGTTGGACAAGATTGTAGGCGATACCGTAGTGGTGGGAATTATCCGTATTCGGTACAGACTCGATGTCGTGTACCCCTGATGGGGACCATTTTGTAGTTGGTAACTTGTTACTGAATGTTCGAACGTGGAACAATAAATGTACTCATTCCTACGCGTTCCACCAATGTAATCGTTACATTGTACCTAGTACAGTAGTAACGACCCACCACTACTATACCGTCCTCGGTTTAGTTATCTTGATTAATATTGATTATTATAATTTATTCGATATTATTGTTATTATTATAGTTATTATCATGTGTTGAGGCCTAATAATATAAATATAATTTATATGGCTATTAATAATACTTGTATTTTAAATTAGTAAGCAAAAATAATATTGTTTGACATTTATTTATTTAACATAATTGACGAGGCAACTCAAAACAAGCGAGACGCGAGAGAGATTACTTACACACACAGTCAAATACAAATGAATATGATATATTACAGTGTTACCTTAACACAACATCTTCCTTCTTCTTTTTTTTTTTTTAAATGTAATTTATAAGAATATAATAATAATTTAGGATAATAATACAAAATAGATAATGATACTGATGATAATACAAGAAAAAATAACATATTACATAAAATATATAGTAAAACAAATAATTAATATAATATGTAATTACTTAATAATAAATATGGCTTATAAATCTAACCGTTTAGGTTTAATTATTGTTCTACCAGAACGAGTAGATTTTTTATCTATGTTTAAATTTAAGTTAGGTTGTTCATAATTATTTTTTCTAGAAGTGGTTGAAGCACAAGTTATTAAATGTTTTCTGTTTCTTCTATAATTGCCCCCTTTTTCACCTTCAATTACATAAGATCTAGGATATTTATCAATTTGAATCACTTTACAATTAATCCAAGGACCATTGGGTACTAATTTAAATACAACTTTTCACCAACTGCAAGATTTGTTAAATATTTTGTTTTTTTATTATAATAATAAGTTATTTTATCTGTGTTTTTTTTATTTTATTTTATTTTGGTAATCACTTAATTCAGTTAATTTAGGTTTTAAGTTATCTATGGGAACAGGTAATTTTGTTCGAATTGATTTTGACATTAATAGTTGAGATGGAGAACATAAATTACCTTTAGGAGAATTTCGATTATGCATTAAAGCTACATATATATATTCAGTTTTACTTTTTTAAATTTTTTTAGTAATTTCTTTATTGACTGTATTGATCTTTCTGCTAAACCATTAGATTGATAATAATGTGGACTTGAAGTGATATGTTCTATATCCCATTCAGACATAAACTGTTTAAATTCTAATGAACTAAATGGTGGACCATTATCAGACACTATTGAAAATGGTATTCCAAATCTAGCAAACATTGATTTTAGATGTTGAATAACAGAAGTACTTGTAAATCCTGATGTTGAATGTGCAATTTCTTTAAATTTAGAATAATAGTCTACCACCAATAAATATATTTTATTATCAAAGTGAAATAAATCAGTTCCTAACTTAAACCAAGGTATTTGAGTTATATCATGTGGTATTAAAGGTTCTTTAGAATTATTATTTCTATATTTCATGCATACCTTACAATTTTCAACAATATTTTTTATATCAGAATTTATGTTAGGCCTAAATATTAAATCTCTTATTGAATTTTTACATCTTTCAATCCCCATGTGACCTTCATGAACTATTTTTAACATTTCTGGTCTTAAATTTTTAGGTATAAGCAAACTTTTATTTTTAAATAATAAGTTGTCTATTACACATAAATATTCTTTAAAAGACCAATAGGGTTTAATAATTTCCTCAATTAAATTCTTATTTTTTGGCCACCCACTTTGTATAACTTCACTAAGCTTTTTACATACCAAATCATTTTGTGTTTCTTTTTAATCAAATCTAATTTATTTTTTGAAATTGCTATATTTAAAATTAAATTTTGAACATTTAAGATTATATCATCTTCAATTTCATCAACTTCAGTTATTTGAAGTGCTGCTCTAGACAAAGTATCAGCAATTATTAGTAATTTACCAGGAACAAAAAAAGTAACTTTTAAATTGTAGTTTAAGCATCATGCGTTGGAGACGGACAGGTACAGAATGAAGAGGTTTTGTAAATAATGTAATTAGTGGTTTATGGTCAGTTTGCACAGTAATTGTTTGACCATACAAATATTGATGAAATTTAGTGCAACCCAACATTATAGCATATAATTCTTTTTCAATCTGAGCAAAATTTTGTTGACTTTCAGTTTATGACTTTGAATCATAAGCACAAGGTTTATTATCTTGCAGCAAAACTGCACCTACAGCATTTTTTGAAACATCGACTGATAACGTTATAGGTTTTGAACTGTCAAAATAACTTAAAACAGGAAATTTTGATATAATATTTTTTAAATGACAAAATGCTTTTTCAAAATTGTCATCCCATTGCCACAATGAATTTTTTTTTTTAACAAGTCACGCAGAATAATTGATTCGGCAGCTAAATTAGGTATGTACGCACCTAGATAATTAATCATGCCTAGAAACCTTTGTAAGTCTTTTACACATTTTGGTGATGGTAAATTAGTTATTGCCTATTATTTTACCTAAAGTGGATATCTTATTAGAGTTAAAAGCCATTAATTTTACAATAGATTGTGTTTTAATACTACTGACAGAAATATTCATTTTTTTTAAAAATTTCAATTGACATTATATTAGCTTGGGCACCTGTATCTAACTGAAAATTCACATATCTATTATTAATTTGTAATACAATTTGCCAAACATAATATTTATTATGATCAATTATAGAACCAATAAAAAGTAAATTATCATTACTAGAGTTATTTTTAATAACTATCATAGCCACTCGCAATCAAATAAATGTTGAACTCTTGCAACCAATCGGACCAATTTTGACATAAATTTCCATCGAAGGATAGTTGATTTACATTACCAATAAGACCTGACGACATTGTAAATGTTTTTGTAGAAATTTGAGTATCAGTGCACGTGGTTGGTTGCGGCTTGTTTATTGACTCATCATGTTGTGATCCAGATTTATCTGCTTGATCCTTCTTTTTTCCACCCATAATGAATCAACACCTGACACCATGTTGTATTTGAAGTTAGTAAACAAAAATAATATTGTTTGACATTTATTTATTTAACATAATTGACGAGGCAACTCAAAACAAGCGAGACGCGAGGGAGATGACTAATTACACACACAGTCACATACAAATGAATATGATAGATTACAGTGTTACCATAACAAAACAATAATAGGATGGTCTCATTTGTTTTTTTGGTTAACCTCAAACGACTATTAAATAATGTATCGAATTCAGGATAAACAGAAAAAATAAACAGAATTAAAATGTAATTGACACACTAGAGTAAAATAAATTTAAATGGTAAGTGAATAATAAATTCGTCGATGAAACCTATTTAAATATATAATAACAACAATACTTATAATTAATAATACGTAAATAAATGATTAAACAAACAATCAAAATAAATAAGCAAACAAGAAACAAATAAATAAATAATAACAACTGTCATTAGTTATCTACAATTAACTCAGTTGATCAAATAATTTATTCAAATCTATTTATTATTAGTAAGCCTCAAGCCCTCAACTCTCAAATGAAGACTTTGGGGCAACAACGAGACATGTCCTTTTTTAAAATTATTCAACAGACAAAAAAAACATTGTAAATTCCAAATAAAAAGATTAGAATTTTTTTTAAAAAAATAGTAGAATTTAGTTACATACATACCTTTTAATAACTTGTTTGGACATATCTTGTTGTTGCACCAAAATTAAATTTTTATTTAATATGTATTTTTCTGGACATATCTTGTTGTTACACCAAAATTACATTTTTATTTAATATGTATTTTTCTGGAAATATCTTGTTGTTGCACCACACAACGACAAGACATATTATAACTTCATATGTAACAGTCAGACATATCTCATTGTTACATCAATCGATGCAGATTTTTTTTTATATATTTTATGACGATATAAAGTGATTTTGGCCAAAACATGAACATGTTGTTGCCCTAAAGTCTTCAAATAGCCAAGGGGTTATAAAAATTCCGAAAATAATGTCAGCTGACAAAAGTTAGACCCAATAATATAAACGTTTTTTAAATTAATATTAATGTATTTTTACAGATGTTATTAACTTATTAAATTTATTTATTGAACTATTCATAACATATATTTTGATATTATAATTGTCATTAATTCATAATAATAATAATAAATATATAATATTTTTGCAGGTTGATTCATATAGCACTCATGCTCAGCCGCCCTCAACTTGTGGCTATTCTATTGCAGCCAGAAATCAAAGTATAGCTGCCCAGTGCTATAATGCGGTACTTATTTTTCAACTTTCTTAATTTTTTTTCCCCACTTATTCCTAACCCCTTATATAGAAATACTAAACCAATTATATGTAGTTCAAAGCACATGCTCTAAACTATTTTGTATTTTATAATTTTGTCTCCATTAAAGAAATAACTTTTTTGTATTATTATTTAACACAAATAATTTTTATAAACTAATGGATTAATTATTGTTATTCCTCAGTTGGCAATTCAAACAATTAACGTTTTTTTTTACACTTTTTTGTTGACTAAAAGTAATGCTGATATATTAATAAATAATAATTATAAAATAAAGTATATTGCTTTTCTTTTATTTGAAATTGTTTTAAAATTAAGAGTCCAGCTGTTACTATGTTGGATAATTTTATAATTTAATATATTTTGATGCTTTATTAAAGTTAATTTATAATTTAATAAAAGTATTGACTACAAGTTTTGCATGTGTGATATAATAATTAATTGTTTGAATTCAATGGTGGGTATTAATATTACATTGTGGGCTATGTAATATATATTAGTAAATTAACAATTTTTTATATTGAATTTTTATTGAATTTTCAGGGTTCAACGAAATAGCTATTTTGCACAGCTGGTTAGGTGGGTGATGCAGGTGCGGCGATTAAAATATGTCTAATTTTGAGGAATATTGGCCAGCTAAGGTGGTTGATACACAACTAATAACTAGTCAGAAGTCTAACTAACGGCAATGGAAGGAATTGATGAGGCAGCTTGAAGTTACTCAAAGTACTGGCTCATCAACTGCGATGCGGAAGGAGAAGAAGTCCACCACATTAAAATACCTAGTAAATCAGTATGGATCAAGTATTGGAGGATTAGGAAAAGGAGAAGGTGCAGAGGGTCAAGAAGTAGGTGCATTCGGTCTAGGAACTAGAAATGAAAGAGGAGACCGCCTTGTAGACTTCTGCAATCAACATATTATGACCATAACTAATACATAAAATACATAAAATGTGCAAGAGAGAAATGTGGTTTTATTCGTATTAACTCTGTGTTGTGCCATATTGTATTAAAGATGACCAAAAATATGTCCCGCTCTATTACTTTGAAGGTGAAACAGAAAACCTAAGACGGCGGGCTGTAAAATTAGAAAATTGGAACTATCTCAAGTTCTGTTTTAAAGTGCAGGGTATCAGAAATGAGTTGTTTGACAGTGCCCTTTGCACAGCGACCAGTCTTAACAACTATGTACAATCCAATGACAAATGGCAATGTAATGTCACATTCAAGTCAAATGAGACAATTCTACAATCAACGTGCTAACAATAATCAAGCCCAACAACAACAGTTGCAGCAATAATACCACAGCAACAACAAATAATTACCACTAATCAAACTCAGAAGTCATATAGTGGCCATCTGTCGTTTAATCAACACACAACAGCGCAACGCATTAAGGAATGCTGGGCCTGTTGCAATTGCTCCGCCCTTAGAAATCATTGCCTTATCGTCCCTTAAATCCAGCCATATTCTTCAGCTGTGCAGGAGAATTCTTTTCGTCCTATTATTGCATGGGAATTGACAAGAATACGGGAACGGATGTGGAGGGCGCATGACACATCTAATAATGCTGCATACAAGGTTAGTGATATTTAATATTTTAAGATTGACTGAATTTATTGGGGCCTAGAATAAAATTATTATTATTTTTCATACCTCTATAAGATATAAAATCTTGATACCTCTATACCTTTTTTTTAAACAAATATATATTTACTAACAAAAATAGCATAAACATAACTTCAGCCAATTTTTCATATCATAGATAAGTTTATAATGTTCATTAATAAACATAAAATAGGTACTATGAGTTAATCTTTATTATTAATTATTATTATTTATCTATATTTTTTAACTTCTTACAATTGTTTCGACATTTATTATTTGATCAATCGCGTTATAGCAATAAGTAACAGGCCCGTATGTTATTAAATTAAATTCTGAGTATAGTATTAACACAAAAAATTACTATTTCGATTTTATTTGCTATATAGAATACCGAAAATTTATCTTTTAATTTATTATGATACTATTATTTGTATTTAAAAAATAAATAATATTCATATGTATGTATATATATATTTAACACAGATCAAAGGGAGAGTGATTCATTGCATAAACGCAAAACCATACATCTATTCGGATCTGATGGTGACATTAAACGATTTAGTCCAGATGGTGTTGTCTTCGTGCACAGTCGAGAGATGCGCTTACATCTTAAACAAATACTTGAAAACGACGCTATTCAGTGGAAATTCGTAAGTGTCTGCTCCTCTTTTTAATAATCACTATCCCTCCTACTGCTCATCCAACAGTGTTCAGAAGTGGTTATTACATTTCACCCGTCGTTTGTTTGACAGCGAGCAGTTGGCCGTGTTGAGGGGAAATGGACGAATCAGGTCAATGTACCCGGCTGCAACACCTATGGCCAGGCTACAAGATGTCACGCATGCTTTGCCGCAATTAAAGGCATTTGTGTTATTGGTGAATATTTTGGAATATTAAATATCATTGACCTTGTATGCGGCATTTTTAGATGTGTCATGGGCCCCCCACATCCGTTCCGGTATTCTCGTCAATTCCCATGCATTAATATTACAAAAAGAATTCTTCTGCACAGCTGGAAGAATAGGGCTGGATTTAAGGGACGATAAGGCAATGATTTCTAAGGGCGGAGCAATTGCAACAGGCCCAGCATTCCTTAATGCGTTGCGCTGTTGTGTGTTGATTAAACGACAGATGGCCACTATATGACTGCTGAGTTTGATTAGTGGTAATTATTTGTTGTTGCTGTGGTATTATTGCTGCAACTGTTGTTGTTGGGCTTGATTATTGTTAGCACGTTGATTGTAGAATTGTCTCATTTGACTTGAATGTGACATTACATTGCCATTTGTCATTGGATTGTACATAGTTGTTAAGACTGGTCGCTGTGCAAAGGGCACTGTCAAACAACTCATTTCTGATACCCTGCACTTTAAAACAGAACTTGAGATATTCCAAGTTCCAATTTTCTAATTTTACAGCCCGCCGTCTTAGGTTTTCTGTTTCACCTTCAAAGTAATAGAGCGGGACATATTTTTGGTCATCTTTAATACAATATGGCACAACACAGAGTTAATACGAATAAAACCACATTTCTCTCTTGCACATTTTATGTATTTTATGTATTAGTTATGGTCATAATATGTTGATTGCAGAAGTCTACAAGGCGGTCTCCTCTTTCATTTCTAGTTCCTAGACCGAATGCACCTACTTCTTGACCCTCTGCACCTTCTCCTTTTCCTAATCCTCCAATACTTGATCCATACTGATTTACTAGGTATTTTAATGTGGTGGACTAATTCTCCTTCCGCATCGCAGTTGATGAGCCAGTACTTTGAGTAACTTCAAGCTGCCTCATCAATTCCTTCCATTGCCGTTAGTTAGACTTCTGACTAGTTATTAGTTGTGTATCAACCACCTTAGCTGGCCAATATTCCTCAAAATTAGACATATTTTAATCGCCGCACCTGCATCACCCACCTAACCAGCTGTTGCAAAATAGCTACCAGAGCCGAAGCAACTGCCCTCCGCCCCAGCCCCTACATGTTAGAACTACTAACGCAACTAAACAGCATAGATAATCTGTGTGTCTATGGACTGTGCACTTTTCATCATTCCCCAT